AACTAATGTTTTCAACATTAGAACATAGTTCAAAATAATTAAACAATACGAGTATACCTCGAAATATGATTATAAAGAGAAACTAACTACATGTCAAAATATCATTAAAATGCAAAATGTAATAATACGAATTCCTATAATATATTTTGTTTACAATTATAAAACCAATAGTGTAAAGGTAGTGATAGGTAATGGTAAGAAGTAATTTTGTTTACTTTCATGGGCTTACGATTTCTTGTTATTAACATAATTAATAGACTTTTAAATGGTGCTACAAAATATGTTCTTGGTGGTTCTTATTAGAAGCTAATGTTTGCTTTTTATAACATACTATATAATAAAATCGGTGAACATTTTACAACTTTAAAACGATATATCACTTTGAGGTAACATAAGATAAAAAATACAAATACAATTAGTACAATGAACAGCTATAATACTTATTAGGAGCAATAAAAATAATGTTATTTTTATATATACTTCACTAAATTAGGATTTTTGTACTGTGCATAAATTTCCCGAACATTTAATAGTTTTCTCAACAATCACTGAAGAGTAAGTTACTGTCTAATACACTCTGAATAAAACGCACAGTACACAATCATCCTCATTCTAAGCACATAAATGAACATAAAATGATTACGTATTTATTAGGAATTCACGGATTAACTAGGATACCTCACCCTCAAACATTCGTTACATTGGTGTTAGAAACCTTGAAACTGGCAGTACATTTCAATCTCTTTTTGATATCTATCTAACGAAAGAGATTATATATAATCTTAAAAAAATTACACAATTTCATTAAAATTAACAAAAATAACCTTTTTACAGCTACTGAATAATTCACTACGAATCGTAAATAAATCAAATAAATACGTATTTAATAGAAGGGCACCGTAGTTGTAATATCAATTTCTTTTCGAACTTATATAGAAAAGCGGCTAAAGTTCTAAAGTCAAAATTTTCGTTGTCGTCGCTATTTTCGAGTTTAAAATTAATTTCTAATCAATCCACTCTAAATTGTGTCACATAAAGACGTTTTGTTTTTGTTACCAACGTTTCCACATTAGGGATTAATTTGGATGCAATCCGTTCTACTAAACCTTTATCGTTTACCCTTTTATTAGCTGCTATTGGCTAACATTGCCTAACATACAAAAAGTGTCATTAAAAGAAACTATTTACTAAAAGACTAAATTAAAATAGTTAAAGTTAAAACCTCAACAATTGCAACCGGTATATTAAGTTATTTAATCTTCTATGCAAGTTGTGTTTAAATATTAAAAAAACTGATTTCGTGATCAGAAATTTCACACATCAACTAATAACATCTGCTAAAAAAATACTGCTTATAAAAGTCTGATCCTGATATGCATTATCACACTAAATAAAACAACTGATCTGATGCTATAAACGTTTTAACGTCGTTAATCGGAAAATGTAAGCATGAAAAAATTATCTAATATAATATTTTAGCGTAGCATCTTACACGAGTCTACTTTAAATATCATTGCTATGAACCAAAAGGCAATAATTATTACCTTAGAGTAGAAATAACTCGCAAACTAATCACTTTGCCAATTGTATCACAATATCGAAAGAATTCCGCCTTTGGCGACCAATAGTCTAAAAATTTATTTATACATAGGATAATCATCGCCCCTTTACATGTTCTAAATTGATAATAACGAGTGGTTAAGCAAAGTAAACGTGTTAAACTTAACAAATAAAAATATCCTTTCCACACCATTAGCAACAATCCTCCAACTTGCAGATAGCAACTCAACGTTTTTACGGTTTCCACCCTGCATATTTGACCTACATCCACCTCAAGGTTAGCTCCAACCTCACCCTTCTCATCATCACATTCCTGTACCGTTCGATTGTCTCTATTTTATCTCTTAGCTTTACTTACTAATACGAAGTTAAAATGTGTGAACAAGCCTCTTATTTTAATATAATAATAATAATAATAAAAAGTATTAGTTAAACTTTTAATTTTTATTTCTATGTATAGATTTCAAGATTTTTTTCTTTCATTATATCATATATATAAGTAGTAATTTATCTAACTATATCTACTTCTAGTGCTCTATCTTTTAGCTGTGGTCAATTACTAAGCTTGCCCAGATAATGTGCTTCAATCGCTTTCCATTAAACGAATAGTAAATTGTTAAAAAAATCTCTATCGTAAGTAGATTCCCCAAACAAGAACCAAAAAACTTTTCGACATATTGAAATTACCCAAAAATCTGTTAATTACTGATAATGGGGGAAAATTCGTTGTTAACTCGCAAACTGAAATGTGAAAATGGAAGCACATCACAAGGCGGCTCTATGAAGCCTTCTAGATAATTGAACTGTTATGTGACGATTTCGTGGATAACAAAATACTCTTTCACGTAACCATATCGGAGTAATTTTTCACCACAAAAATATTATTGCTTTCGGAAGTTTCGAGTTACAGTTAATATAATATTTTTTTTTTGTATTTTCTTCGTTATTTTTACATTACCATCACTTTCAACAATCATATTATCAGCGCTCCATAAGCAATCGTGCACGCTATCCAAAAATATATATACATGACCACTAGCTAAACGAACTATTCATTCGAAAAGAAAACGAGAGAATTTCATGGAAAATTAATACATCAAAACTTTTGGCGCAATACATTTCGAAATACTGGTTTCGTACCCGCCATCACTACATATACATATATAAATATAACATCTTAAAATTAGCAATCCAAAAATATAAAATGTACATGTTGCAATCGTGCGCCCTCGGGTGTCTCATTCATTGCAAGCGAATCGCTTCCCAATAGTCAATGTCAATGATGTCGGTTTCGCTTGTAACTGTAGTGCGACTTTTGTCGTTTTACCACCAGAGGGTGCGAAAGCCGCCACAACTGGACGGTTATAATCGAACTGCGTCGCGTAACATTCATAATTTTTCATCCAACTGTTGTCGCCAGTTTACTATTTGACAAATTCCAATAGACTACTCCGTTGCGCAACTCGCTAAGAAATTCAAATGTCGAACGATTGATATCAATCAAACTATTCACTAAGATTGCTTAATGAAAACGTCACTATCGTATCTCGGCAATATGGACATTGAAATTTCTGTAAACAATAAAACAGCCATTACGTACCAAATGACAGCTCCGGCCTACAGAAAATATTTCTATAACTCAGAACCTACTTTAGCAATGCAAATACTACGAAGGGGTAGCATAATTAACTACAAAATTAAACAAAAAAATAATTCATCCATCAACTAAGATATGACGTTCAAACAAAGTTGAGTTGTAGTTTTTAAACTAAAGATTTTCTCTTGTCCACGGCTCTGCACAAGCGAAGCAATCAGTATCGTTCGTAACTTTTGCTTTATAAAAATACGAATCGAAAATATCTTGACGGCAGCTTGTCGTCTTATGGTTAAGCTATGATTACTTCTATTATCTTAAACTATTCGCTATAATACTACATTAAAATATCAGAGAATTCAGAAAAGGGGAATATTAAGGTATTTAATTCTATACTTAAGTGGTGCACAACCTTATTTTTTTCATGAACTCTAGTTAAGTATAGGATTTAGCTTTAACGAGGATCTAAAACAAAAAACTCACTATCTAATGAACTAATGCTAGATATTTTGGGTAATTAACATATTTCATGACTTGAAGTAGGAACTAGGGTGGGGGTTAATCGAAAACATAATCGTAACATAAATATATTAAAACATCCTAAAATAAGTCAACAACGGTACAATGATAAACGATATACATGTAAACGAATTCTAAGTTTAAACTTTATAAGATTCTTGTGTTGTCTACAGGAATGTTGACAATCCAAAGTATTAGTTGTTAGTCTTTAAAAGCCTTCACTTTGTAGATTAGAAAAAAGGAATTAATCTATTTAGGCTGGAATGAAACCTCTGTGGTAAACTTTAGACCAATAGTAAAACTAATTATTTTTTCTTAAATACGATAAAATCTCAAAATACTCACAGCTCGTCGGGTTTATTGTAATATACGCTAGGTGCATCTACTTTATAAGAACAGTGGCTTTTTAATAATTTGAATTTGTACTTAACCTACATTTAATTTACTCCGCCATGAAAATTATTAACAGAGCCTAGAATTCATGTTAGATTTAAAACATGCGAACGAAAACAGATAGTTTCAATCTGGGTGTTGTCTATAATCGCTGAATCTTATAAGAATTTAAAACGATTGATTGAATATGTCAATAATTTCTAAATATTCACCAAACAATTGCCAATATACGGATGTTTTAGGTAAATCACATCCAATTTAGAGTTTTCAAAAATATGATTCCAATTAACGCCCTAAACAAACGTCTCAAAAATACGTTATGAAAATATAATACAAATACGATAAAATTTATACTAAATATAACCCTGTCTATGACCTGAAGAGTTTAACATAAAGAAGAATTTAAATCCAAACTCTGAACAAGTCATTTCTAAGGAAAATCAGCAAAAATACGACACTGAACCAAAGTAAGACAAGGACAGAACATCTATAAAAGCAATAGTCTCTAAAAGGCTTTTTCAAACTGCTTCCTATTGGGACTAGATTCCTACAAAAGAAAATTCAATAGTTTTGCTCGAGGCCCGAGTTATTTAAAACCTGTTCAAATGTTAATGTTGCTTTTAGTGGTGGTGAATACGATGCAATATGCGAGATGAGAATAAAACTAGTAGCCCAAAATTCGGACAACCAAAACGAGAAGCATCGAAGACAAATTAACATTTGAATTACAATAGAATTATTGGGCACTTTGAAACGAACATGACTGGGTACCGTAGCTACGCAGTCCATACGAATTTCGGAGCCGTGGCGAACACAAAACTGACTAAACAACTAATAACAATACAAAAATTATACGCGGGACATTTAGTCTTGTTCCGTTTCGTGCAACTGCAATGTCTTCTTTATCCAAACCAGGTCGGCTACGGTTGGGTCATGTGTTAAATAAGAGTTCCAGTAGGAGATCATCGTCGGCGTCCATCGGTGATTCCGGTGCTAAGTAATCTACGATCCTGTAACAAGAACATTAATAATACAATTAGGGCCGACAGAGCGTCTGGGAGTATTTTAATGATATTGTCTGAAATATACTTAAAAATCAGCTTGGAAAATTTACGTGGGTTAAGTAATGTTTTTATGTATGATTACCTGATACCTGGAAATTGCCCTTTTGACCAAGCTAGCAGGTATACATGCGATCGTAGTACATATTAAAAATACTCAATCGTACACATTTCGTTCCACTACGAGACGAGACGTTTGCGGGCCCTGGGATTTTGCTGTATTATTAAGAAAACCAACTTCAAATATGTTATTGACTAAACGTTTTCTAATATCTCCGAAGGTTTTAGTTATTTCAATTGCATAATGTCATACAGTATGGGCCCCATATGCAGCAGATTTTGAAAGAATATTTATTTTGCAAAAAAGGGTCATAAGAGCAATGTGCAATCTTAATTTGAATGCATCTCTGAGGGAGATATTTAAATGAATACATTAACGATAACAACAACCCTGGGAATGAGTTGATCGCTCCTAAGCTGTTTCTGAAAATACTCACTTCTATGTTCTGTGTAACAATGTACATAACAGTGGGTACCTACGGAGTTTCTTTCGCCTGTTTCTTCTCCGTTAGTATCCGTACCTCATTACGAAACGGCGGTAGATTAAAAAAAATACTATAGATAAATGAAATGTATATTTCTTATTTCGATGCATAAATGATTTGATTTGGTTCAATGGTTGAATATTGGAGGAAGTGGAAGGACCATACGGGAGATAAACCAAATCCAATGCAATAATAATTTTTAAAATTGTACATAAATGACGGAGGTCTGAGTGACGAACATAAACTCCTTCATTTTTGAAGTCTGTCGAAAATACATGCTTCCGTTGAGCATCTGGATCACAGACATAACTTGAATAATAAAAGCAAAATTAGAGGTCGTGACCATAAATTTTATAACAACGAATTGTGCGTAAAACGGATAAATAAATAATATAAATTACAAACGCATTTAATTGAAATTCAGTTGAACTGATAAAGTCAGTTCACATCTAAATTCAGAGCAAAAATCGTTTAAGGTCGATTTCTACAAATTTTAATGTTTTTACAAATTTTAAAGTCGATTTCGTTTATTGGTGAATTTTATGGCGTCATCAAAGGTAAAATTTTCAATATACAGTAAAATATTCTTAAACGAGTTTATGCCAACATCACTTAATCAAGAAATCACATCAAATCATTCGCACATCACATTTAACTGTGGTAGGGCCAAGCGACAGTCTTCGCTGATGGACGAAGAAGCAGGTCCGTCCAGGTAAGCAACAGGACCACACAAAAGATCTGCGTGAAGTTGAAGTGCCACTTATGCATTTCGTCTGGTGAGTGAATTAGCCGGGCCCCACTTTATTAAAAGGTGGCATCGCATCAGCAAATCTACGGCTGTTGAAAATGTCAATGGGCGGTGGTTACTACTTAACATCAGGTGAACCTCCGGCTCGCTTGCCACTTTCTCACATTAAAACAACCGGTCAAAGAAAACAACTGGTCAAGTACGTCGGACTTGTGCACCAAGGGTCCCGTACCATCAACTATAACAACGCCTAAAAAGATGTCTGTTGTACGGGAGCCTCCATTAAATATTTTTTATTTTGTTTTCAGTAAAAGTAATAGCCTACACATGTCCCACTGCTGGGCTGTCCCACTGCCTCTTCTTTACAGACGGTATCAGGGCATAGTCCACCACGCGGCCCCACTGCGGATTGGCGGACTTCACATATCTTCGAAATATATATTTTTTTGTTATTATTTCGAAAATATGCAGGATTCCTCACGACGTTTTTCCTTCACCGCAGAGCACCTGATAAGTCAGCACTTAAAGTTAAAAACTTCATTGGTGCCGGTACCGGGGATCGAACTCAGGTTGCTCGAGTATATTGAATTAATGGCGAACGCCTGGACACTGAGCTATCACGGCTGTTTTTCAGTATTTTTTGTTATATCGGCAACAGTAATACATATGAAAATTTCATCTGTCTAACTATTAATCTTCATGAGGCCTGGTGACAGACGGAGAGACGGATAGACGGACAGACAGACAGGCAGCGGAGTCTTAGTAATAGGAAATAAAAAATAAAAACATCAAATCTAAAAGTTGAACCCACCTATTGGGCGTGGGTGGAGTACTGGTGGTGCGCTGCGACGAGCTTAGGTGGGCATCCTGGTGCAGCCGGGCCACCTTCACGTTTTCTGCTCGAGCGCTCTGCAACCTATGGAGAGAATGAATGAATGAAGGAATGAATGAATGTCTTCATTGCCAATATATGGTTGTACATTTTGATCTTAATCATCATAATTTGGTGCAACACATTCAGCTGAAGTCAGTTGAATGTGTTGCACCTATGTTCACACAAAATTTTTCCGGTAGTGGGGATCGAACCCACAACCTCTGGCTACGTTGCAGATGCACTACTCCCCACGCGATTTGAGTTATACAGCGTGTCGTTACCACCGCGACAATAAATGAACACACTTATAGAGGATAACTTTTTAAAATTGTATTAAACATTTACATTCTTTAAACATCAATATTTACCGAGTTATCAAATTTTCCAAAACAAACAATTTTAGAACACCCTTACGTATAAAACTGTAACGTAAAGTTCATTTGTAAAGGTCACAAAGCATATGAATGGGTTGAATGAATTTAAAAGAGACAAAACATACTGTTAGAAGGAGATGCTTGTAATGCGACGCTGTGGCGCGAGTTGTATAGGATGTTACAATTTTTTTTTCTTTTTTACTTAATTAGTTTGTTTGAATTTTTTTTTTTTTTTAATTATGGATTTTATTTAACGTTAATATTTTTTTTATGATTATTGGCAAGTAGCGTTAGACGTGTGTTCATTTATTGTCGCGATGGTAACGACACGCTGTATATATATCCATAATACAAACACAATATAACAATTATATACTAAATTACTAAATCAACTATTTCCAATAAAATTATTATTCGAATATTATGTTCAATTATTTAATGTCACTATATAACAAATAATCATTGATATTAATTATATGTATTCTTTCTAAGCGCCAACTCGATATTTCCTTCTTAAACGAAGTAATGGGCAATTGTTTTATTTCTAGTGGTAATTTATTATACAAAATTATGGCCAAAAAATAAGCATTCTTTTTAAATATATTTAGAGCGGTGTTTTTGTTGAAATTTATGTTTTTCACGATATAGCTGTTAAAAAGTAGGTATTATGTCTCAGAGAATGTTATTGGTAGTTGTACAGTTAAATAATTACCATGATAATGAGAAGGCCATTTAATACCTGTGCATAATTAATAATGAATTAGCTGTTATTATGAAATAAATGTTTGCTATTCCGTTATGCAGTGTATAGAGATACAATAGTTCTAGAAAAGCACTTTATGTATGATCTGATAATAACATTCAGCTTTATGTTATCACAAGCAATTGAAACTAAGACTAAGTGATATATAAAATAAATAATCATTATTACTATGCATTATAATAATCAGACGATGAATAATAATAATCAAATTTTATGTGTCACTGTTTATGTTTTCTATTTATTCACATTTCTTTTTAAATTATAATGCTCATTAAACTGGCGATATCGGGGATCAAAATGGTTCCTTGTAAATCGACGATGGACCACTCGGTCGACAGTTACGCGAATCACATCGAGATAAAACATTGAATCATAACAAATATTTTAAACTTACACTCGTAGATATTTCCTCCCATGTGCTGGCAGCGTGAAAAAATATTTTCGGATATTTTAACGAAGTACTATAAGTACTATATTGAAAAGTTAGGGACGACTTTTGTCTAAGGTTCTGGTGTCATCAACTTTGAATTCTTCGTCTTATTGAATGCATATAACACAAGTTCTGTTTATAACGAAAAACAAAACTGACTTCGAATCTCGCTCAGTGTTCATTTTATAAATAATTATCAGAAGTGATCTAAGTTTCTCGAGAACCCTAGAACCAATACCAAGGAAATTAATATGGGACCACAAGGGATGGAATGGAATGGATGACCACGTTAAAATAAAAAAGTATCATCAAAATCGATCCACACAGCCGAAAGTTATGAGGTAAGAGAAATAAAAAAAAACCGTTGAATTGAGAACCTCCTCCTTTGAAGGACGGTTGATAAATGGAGACTAATACTTACTTGATCTTAGATTGTCGCATAAACTGCTGAATTTTCCTTGCTGCTTGATTCTGGCGCCGTTGGGAATATGTTCTCCTAAGAAAATATCACAGATAAAAATAAATAAGCATATTATCGTAACGCTCAATAATCTCAATCACCCTTGATCATTATCGTCATATTATGTATTCATTCAATCCCCGATGCCAGCACCAATGAGTAGCAAACTGTGTATTCAAATACTAGTTCATTAAGACCTGTTCAGCATAGGAAAAAATTTTAAGATACAAAGCCATCCCTTCAATTTTGATAGTCTTATTAAAAGATTTTTTAGTTGGATATATCTCCAACGACGACGACCCGCAGTTCAAAACGAAACATGTATAATGAACTAATTACGGTACTTTTTCGAAATGCGCTAGAAGTGCATATGTATTAATGAAGCTGGTTGGGTGATGACAGCGGATATATACAGAAGAAGTCGATTAAGTAAGGTTTAGAGTGAAGAAGGCTTGCACTATGTCAACGGAACTCACTTGACGGGTGTGGCGGCTAGGCAACGCTCGCGGTGCGTACGATAACCACGCTGGATCACAGTAGCTGCGGCGTGCATCTGCTTCAAGTAGGCAAACTGAAACATAGAAATATATGATTAATGTTTGGAGTATTGGATTAACTGTATAAACTTTATACCAGAACTATGTCTAGTGCAGAGATTTAAACTTTAATTAGGATGGATGGTTTGCGAGACGAAAACAATGCTATTCCTTTGGAGGTATCTTGCAAACTTTAGAAATAAAAAAAAGCTGAGAACTACAAACAAATAGATTAAATCATCGTCATTGTGAATGTGTTTGCGCTATATATTGAAGTCAAGCTTGTGATATTCACATGCCTATATCTCATAGCTCACCTGCTTGTAGCGGCGGTAACAGTTTTGAATTGTAATGGCCGCGGCTGCAGCGCGTCTTTGCAGCTGACGCCCACGATATTGGCGGTATGCCTTCTGTATTGTTATGGCCGCCGAGTACAATTCTCGCTGCTCCCGATCTTAAAGTGAAATGATATAAAAATTACATTTACGATGACCAATTTGAACGTGAATGTCTCGCAAATATTTTTTTCTTACGTTTGAACGAACATAAAAAGTCATTTTGAAAATCCTTCCATCAATTTAGCTGTGCCATTATGATATTAAATATATCTGCATTCGGTATTTCGAAAAATTACTGAATCTTTTGATGTAAACGAATTTATCTATGTAGGTATACGAAAACTTCATTAGAAAGAACACTCACCGTTCAGAGTCAAGCTTGAGAAATGCGTGGTAGCGTTCAGAAACTCTTGGAGTGTTGCAGATGGTGTGCCGTGTGGCAAGGGGGCTCGGGGGGAAGGCGGTGGCGGCGATAAAGCCGAACCAGGTGACACGGAACCCGATGAACATGGCGTTGATCCGCCGCAATATCTAATTCATTTGTAAGCAACAATACAGAAGAGTAACAATCTATACATACACGAGTCATATCTGGGGTAAATGTTCCAATTAATAGAAGGTAGCTGATTGGTGGATTTTAGATAGGCCCGAAAATTTTCTATCAATACATTTAAAATATACAAGTTTCTTTGATTCTGCATCATGCGATCTTGAAGCTGTACAGTTTAATGTGTTTATAGAAGCCTAATTTATCTAGTGAAGAATTATCTAATGATGTACATATTTGAAAATATTACCTGTATGTATTATCGGAAAACTCAAAACTAAACTCGGCGTTAAAAGTGGTGGTGTCGTCTAACAGTGGTACCATCAACACATCTTCGCTGCCGGCTGATCCGCTTTCTAATCCGCAGCCCGACATAAGCGACGAACTTTCGTTCTGGAACACATTTGATCAATTCAGTTACACCGTGTAATATATAGGGGAACCACAGTGATTATTTGTGACTGAATTATCTGAACGAATGTTTTAAAAATTTTTGGATCCGAGGTTTTTCAACTGTGGCAGGGCCACGCAGTCCGGGTAATTACGACCTCACAGAAGACCGATCTTCACGCCGGCGTGAATACCAAGTTTTATGCTTATGTTAAGGTTGCTTTATTAAAATGTGCCAAAGCATGTGCAACCGTACGAATGTTGCATACATCCATGGGCAGTGATTATATTTACATCAGGTAAACCGCTAGATCTCTTACCACTAGATCTCTTCTCACATCGAAAAAGTATTCTTTTTTACATGTATATTCTTTGTTTTCGATCTTTTTTTGTATGCTACTTGAAAAAATTGCAAAAGTTATAAGAAATAATTTTATTTAGTCTGTAAAGGGAGAATAAATTGGAATTGATGAAACGTGTTACTGCGTGAAGTTCCACATTCTGCTTCTTAAAATAAGTGGTCACTTCTTTACGTTTACAACCTGTGAATTATCGCTTATTATCAGGTGGAGTGTTAGTCAATCTTTGGCCAATTGGTTATTAGGATCTGTGAGAAATTGTAGCGTTTTTATTCATTAAAAAAAGTTGCTAATAAGAGGTCCGCAAGCACCCATGGCAACATAGACGTTGTCATTTACTATTGAAAAAGTGGGAATCTAGTAACGTTACTCCCTGAAAAAAAGAGAAATGAATAAATACTGGAAGTATTCTTTGCTTTGCTAAACTGATCACTAACGTTTACAACCTCAGCACGAATTGGTAACAGTCGTCAGTCAAGGTTACCTGAGCGAGGTTAGCTTGGCCTCACCTTTATTCTGTCTGGCATAGCGGCTATTATCTGCTCTGCCAGAGTGAACACTCGGTCATCCTGCTCCCCTGAAAGTTTTTTATGAAATAGAATCTTGGACGAAAAAATTTATTGCGCTTATCTAACGCGTTGAGTTATTCACGGTTTATTAAAAATCCTTTGCACTCAAGGTAAAAGTTAAAATTCGAATTTTTAGTTTGTAAAAATGTCACATCTTTGTTTGGTATTTTTAAGTTAAACAAACTGAGTTAGTTACAGTTTTTGAACCAATATGCCGAACGATGGATTTTGTTATGAAAATTAAAATAAATTCATCTTTAATTTGAGAAATAATAAGAAGATTTGATTATTTGAATTTTTTTTGATTGATTTACAAATTTACTTCATTGGTGTCTTGCAATAACATTCGTTAAACATAGTTTACTGGTAATTAAATAAAACTAGTTTACGGATCATCCGTATATTAGTTTCATTTAATATGTATAATATTCGCGTAAAATGAAAAAAACAATAAGTTTACTGGTAAATTAAAAATTAACAAATTAATATTAAAAATATGCGTATTATCATCGCAATAAACAAATATAACGTTTCATTAGTTTATTTTCTAAATATTTTCATAGATCTATTTATCCTCTAGCAACAGTGTGAATACGATAAGTGAAAACACAATTATTCATAAGCGACAACAGTGATAAAGGAATGATGTGCGATCATAGAGTAGACTTACCTGTGTATGCCGAAACAGAAAACTAAGTAATTTAACACTACACATAAAAAGCACCAAATAGATATCGTATCATGCAAACAGCTGTGACGCCATGCAGTGTAGTACTGTCAATTTGTCGCTATAAAGTGTTCCGGACCTGTAACTGTGTTCAAAGAATTCGCTCCTGGAGATATTTGAAGAGGAAGCAATCTGTATGAAGTGTCTGAGGGTACAGTTGTTGTGAGTGGACCGATAAGAACCATTGAAAGCGACACCGAATAACAACACCGAATAAGCTAAACCGAACGAGTGCGACTTTGATCGCCAAACTTACCAGAGGCATTGCAATTTAGATTCTGTTTCATTTAGCATCATCCTTACACGGAATGTTATCCGTTTAATTGCTCATAGATTTATTAAATTACGAGACGAATCAGCTGTGTCAGATAGGATGTTCGGTTTAGCTTCAGTTACAACTAAAATCAACACCTCAAACTCCGCTCGATTCTGGATACAGAACAACAGAAGAAACTACAAGTGGTCTACCGATAGCGATGACGTTCCGGGCTACAGACTGGCGATAGAAAGGGACAAAGATACACAGACAACCGTTGGTTAGAAGAAGAACGGGCGGCCTTAGCGGCAATGCAACTACTACATTCACAACATCGATAAAGTCGAGCGGAGGGTTGGCTGCTACTTGAAATGGTATTGAGCATCTTTCTAATTACTGAAAATTATTTAGTTTACTATTACAAATTGAAGTAATGCTTTATTATTTCATTACTTCAATTTGTAATTATGATCGTACTTTAAAGTTTTATCTATACGTTAGAAAATTAGTGATAGTTATTCAAGTCTTAATTGAATAAAATAATCTTACAATATATCCAAAACTTTTATTTTCTTTATTAGAATTATACTAACGTATTGTATAGTATCAAAGTAAAAATTAAATACAATTTTGAAAAATTTGCTTAATGTGTGGAATCATGAGATTTTTTAAACACTCCCATTTTCCTACGAAGTCATCTGTCGAGATAAGCTGCAAACTGGAGACGTCGATACCATTTCGCGTGCGGCAGCGAACTGACCTGCTGTGGAGGGCGGTGGTGGGGAGGCGGCGGGCGAGGAGGCGGTGGACAGCGCCTCCACGTCAATGAGCGGGCTCGTTGCCCGCCGCGGCGCCGTCTCGCCTGCACAACAGCGGGCGTGGGCACGGCTGGTCAGCGAGTGAGCTCCTTCGCCCTCAATACCGTCACCCTCTACCCTGCTCTACTTGCAAAAGTCCCCGTCTGAGGTCGCTATTCTACCCGAACGCACTCGTCTACTCGTTTGACAACCGTTGGCCAAACTCCTTCCCAATTTCTTTTGCAACTAATCTAACCGATCTCTCACCCTTGTGACCTATAGCGTTCACCCAAAGTTCAACGTCACGCATGACGGTGCACACTAAATATCTCTCGGGTTAGCCCAAGGGACGTTGTTCACACGCTCTTAACACTACACGCGATTGCAATGACATTAAGAAGGAACTCACTACGCGTTTTTATAACCGTCGACAACGTTGTCGCATCATCGTTAACAGTTTCTCATCGCGTTCAAAGCAAAAAATATAAACTCTATGAAAGATTTCGATCGTCGATAAAGGCGCCGTGCCGATATAAATAAATAATCATCAGCAAATGAAAATTTAACTGTCTATGGAATGAAAATCGATGATAGGTGTTAAGACTTACAAAGGGCCAAGTCCATTCGCCTGCCCACTTTCGAGTCGCCAAGGCTGTCTTCAGATGTATCCGAATCTAAAGGCAACGACATGCTTCGCTCCCATCTGCAATGTTTGGTATTAGAATCGATTTGTCATCGCTCACGCAGAGAGAAAAAGGTTTTCTTACAACGAGTTTGATAAATTAACTCATAAGTATGAGTTTTGATTCCATATGTTCCATACTGTCATTTGACATCACAATGAATTTATATTTACTTTTGTGATATAGATATCCTTACAGAGAAAACATTTAAGTAATTTTTCGTCCTCACGTATCATCAACAGAAGATTTTTTCTTTTTCGTTACATAGACGATTTTGTAATTTTTTTATTGAAACTAATTTTGTTATTAAAAAAGTTACGCAAGTGATAATGGTCGAATTCCGGTTAGTGGGAAACAAACAACTATTACAAATCATGTAATGCATATCTGTTGAGGCAGCTATTTGTGAAAACAAATGTTTTGCTCTTACCTAGCTGATAAATTGACATCTCCTTTGTCTATAGCTGAGCTCGATCTAAACGCGTCCGCCATGTTGATGCCGCTGTCGATGGAAGGTCTCTTTACTAAATTGCTTTCCAAACTACCCACACGACCTTTTTGTGACAAGCTGTAAATTATCATAGATATGTTGCATTAATGTTAAGTGATAATTATTCATATTCCTTATTTTCAATTCTAAAATGTATCATGGATCCTGTTGCTGATGATGTGCAATTTAAAATCATCTCATCGTTAAGTTATTTACATTTCTTGTAATCATGTACCATCTACAGTGCGATATTTTGCACTCTTTGGGTCCATCAGCTAAGTAAACTCAATCCATTAAATATTATTATTATCATGAAGGTTATGGCCCTAATCATGAAGACATGACACTTAATGTCTATTATTCCATAATATTAGTGGATGAGTTAAAGTACTAATTCTAGGTAAAATCTTTAAAATATGTCCGATTTCTATATATGAAGAAAGTCGGTCAAATCATTCTATAAAATATCCTCTTCAATTATGGCGGTATTACAGCTTGTAAGTAATGTCTAAATATTATACTATGTGTACTGTACACCGGTTACATGCTGTTATATTTCATTTATACTATTAGGACAGTTTTGTTGAATACAGTTCTTAATACGACTCAGTGTTGTATTCTTTCTTGATGCCGTAAAGTGTCAGCAAATAAGAACGAAATTTGGAGTGGACACGAATTAAAAATACTTACATTATTCCTAAGAAAATGACACGAGTGAAAACGTCAGTAAGATTTACATCTCAAATAGATTTTGATCACCTTAGCGGTCTGCGGAACACAGCGTCACCGCTCGGAGGGTGGATGCGGTCGAGAAGGGCGGCCAAGCGCGTGTGGCCCGCGCGACGGGCGGCTGCGGCTGCGGCGCGCCCGCCCGCCTCCTGACGCGTGCCGGCGCCCCACCGGGCGAGCACCACCGCGGTCTCCACGTGGCCGGCGGCACTCGCCACCATCTGCGAACGCGGTGTTTCATTCCGTGGGAGAAAGGAATTGTGGCGAGGGCCAATGTTCAGTGAAAACGGTCAAGAACCACGAAAGCTTGTAAATTATTAACTGTGGTATGGCCACGCAACAGTTCGCTATTGTACGAATAGGCCCCGTCCAGGGATATACGGAAGACCGTCGTCAAGTTATACTTCTGCATTTCGTCTGGTGAGTGGGGTGGCCAGGGTCCACATTTTTAAACATTTTTAAGTTAAAATATGGCAATGCATCTAAGGTGTTGCAAATATTAATAGGCGGCGGTTATCACTTATTTCAGGTGAGTCGCCAGCTCACTCGCTATCTTCCCACATAAAAAAATTCTGATCAAGCAGTTTGCAGCAGCGATGCTGGAGCGCCATTTGAAAAAATGGACATCTGTTTGAGAAATTTGAACAAATCTCTTTAATGCTGGACTTAATTATTCAGATAGTTGTATACACGTATAATTTTTACATTCAAATGTTTCATTTAATATTATATTGTAATATATAAATGCTAGTATGATATTTCTACGTCTCATTTAATTTAAAGATAAGTGTGTATGAGTGTGTATGATCAGTCAAATACTAGTATAATACATTGTAGGTGCTATGAAACAAAGCGTGGAATAACATTGTATCAACTACCAAGAAGTGTTGTATTGTTGATTCAATTCAATTTTTTTATGAGCTGCTTTGAGCCTGTGATTTTTATGTATGTGATTTCTAGTATGAAGTCATATTAAAGAATGATAACTAAATAAAGGTTAGTTTACAAACCAGCCCACTAAATATATATTTATATCCACTAATAATTTACTGTTGTTATTAACATGCCATTAAAATTCAAATACCGATATTATACGTTTATTTTTATTTTTTAATACGTGTTAGCGCAACACTCAATAATCATAGTTTACATATATGCCACTGCAATATTACTTTTTTGACTGTGGTGCCTCTTCAACTGTGGAGCAATTGGATATTTGTATGACAATAATGACAATGTTCGTGTAATGATATATTATACCAAAAGATTTTATTTTTTTCTCAAAAAGTTTGCTCTCACCAAAGGGGTGCAGTTATCGCTGTCCCTCGCCCCTAGGTTCACTTCTTTCTCCAAAGCCAGGCTGTTGTCATCCTGCCTCCAACGCAGTAGCACCGTCGTCAGCTTTGTATACCCTAAAGCGGCAGCCAAATGAAGGATCGTCGAGGTGTCTTCCCCTGGTTCCGTTGTAAAGCCTTCGGCGTTGCCCATAGAGCGGGAACTAAGCGACACGCAAAACGTTACCAGCCGCTCTTCGAATTTCGGATTCGAATAGAGGTGGACATCCTCAACCTGTAAAAATAATTGCAACAAAATTTTAGTTATTTTATTGATAACGAGCAAAGCTAATAGTTACTCTTTACACAAATTCTAACGGAATTTGACAATTTCTTGACAAATAGAGAATACTTTCAATTTGACAAATAGAGATAAAATTTAAAGAGTTAAACCAACATCTTAGTAATAATCGATATATACAATAACTCAGAATTTACCTCATCAATTCTTATTATATTACTATGGTAACTAGTGTAAATCTAAAGGAAGTCTGAGAAAGATCTAGATGGACTGCGTGAAGAATGATGTCTGTAAAAGAGGTGAGTATTGAGACGAGGATTGATAGACGAAAGTGGAAGGAAAAGAAAGTGGTTTGTACCGTTCTCACATAATGTGGGATAAGGGCAGAAAAAAGAAAAAGAAGAATTTTAATCTATATTACATGAAAGACAAAACAAAAAGGCACCTGATTATTATCATCCATAGGCTCCGTCTTTACTTGCAATCGGCCGTGTAGTCGTTGTAATCGTTGCAAAAGCGAGAACCGACGAAAGTCCAGCGATGGCAGAGGGGCGGACGCAGGGGATGAGGGTGCTGGGGTGGGGCCCGCTTTGTACTCGAAAACAACCGTATCTGAGACAACTCGTCCACCACGGGCAACTTGTAAAGCCGCGAGGCCGGCTTCGTGAGCTGAAATAATTACGGGCACCGAATTTATTTTCTACAATATTTCATAGTATTATCACAATATTTCATAGTATTATTATATTATTAAAATGGTATAATATATACGTATACATTACGTATATATTATACCATTTTTGTGACTATGAAACCATATCTCTGTTCATAATTCAATTTAGAGAAAACTTGTTGAAAAGAGTGTGAAATGTTATAATAAAGCTCATATAATAATCAAAAGGAAAAATGAAGTAATGTATAATGAATAATTTTTATTTATTGAAAAACCATAGATATCACTTACATTACAGTATAGGATTTTAGGTAAATATCAAATAAAATCCTACCTGGACAGTAACACCGTAATAGACCGTTCTGAACAAGTATCGATGGTACAGGAAAATTGTCAAAGAGGACGGTGTATTGATCTGACGTATCAGTCCATGGACCTGCAACCAAAACCTTCACTCCTCCTTCAGGATAAGCCCACTCTGGTGAGTAATCAGTGATACTCAATGCGCCTTCACTGGCGCAATCTGTTTGCATTTTTTCGTTTCCGTCATCAGTTGGTGGTGATTTCCCAGACGAGGGCTATAATAACAAATGAAATACTCAGAATAAATGATGAAAACATTTTCTAATGAATTCTCGTCAATATTACAAAAATAATGTTTTGTTGCATAAATTCAGCTAAAGTAAAGTAAAAGCTAAGTATCAAATGATCAATAAAGGCTCAATTCCTATAAATTTTAAACTTTTTCGAGGGCAGATTGGAATCTATCACTGTTTTTAAATATGACTATTGAATTTAAACTTATAAATCTTATACAAATAAAGATTAATGCAATTACACTATAATAGTATATAAATATAATTGCTTTTTTGAATAAGTGTTTCTTTGAATATTTACTTTATGAATTTCAACAATTTAAACTCACCACAGGATTAGTCGATATGGAACTTGGATCTAGTACTTCCAATTCAGGAAAGTCTCCCAACATATCGAAAGCGTCCAAATTTACAAAAACATTGTCATCTACTACTTGTGTTGGAGATGCTACAGCTTCACAGCTTTCTATAAAATCCATTGTATCTATACCCGAAACCATTACGTTTGCAGTGTCTGACGATCTTGTTCCGCTTCTATCTAATTCACATGTTGGCATATTGGCTGATAATGTTTTCTGTATATCTTCATGTGACAGCTCTAATGTTTCATCGAAAAATCCGCTTGAATGTCCTAAATTTCCATCTGTACCCAACAAAACTAAAGTTTCCTCACAGTTATCTGTTAACACTTTACTTTCTAAACGCTCTACAAGATCAGGATATCGCGACGGTGTTGCCGGAGCACTAGCAATCACTTGATTCCTGCTTCGTGGTTCAATCTTTATTTTCCTTTCAAAATTCTCTACATTGACTTTCTCCTCGACTTGATTTTCCACTTTAAAAGTGGTATCGGAATTGTGAATACATGTGGGTTGGCTGTCTGGCAGTTCCCTTTTCAAAACAAATGTCGGTTTGTATTGATGACGATATCTGTCTCTGGGCTCTTCACAAACAAATGACGTAACTGACAAAGGGGATACGAGAGATGAATGTTGTTGAGTGCTGCTCCCGGCACCGTTCAAAATTAGCAAGCCACCGCCTCCTTGAATCTGTCCTAATGATAACAGCAATGGTGAAGCCGATTGTGTCGTTGTCCTGTGATCTCGTGTATATTGACGCGGTGGCTGTAAGGGTCGCGGTGATGGACCAGTAGTAGAAGAGACGTGATGGTCCGAAGGTGGTGGTTTTGCTGCTTGTATGCGACGCAAGGGATGAGCGCAAGTTCTTGAATCTTGGCACGTGGAATCGGGACAGCCGCATTCCAATTGTCTAGCCAATGCTGCGGCCCTAGCTGCCCGCTGTTTTTCCATCAGTTGCCCGACTATGGCCTCAACAGTCTCTGTAGTCTGAAACATTTTGCCCTAAGATTTTACATTAGCAAGAAGTTCAATTAATGTATTATAAAATTTTTTTGACAAAATATAATACGTACTGTAATTTCCAATTCGCTGTTTAGATCTGGCTCATCTTCGCTGAAAACTGAAAAACAAAATAGGATACCTTAACGGATAGATTTGAATCATAATTAGTACACATACTATTCCAAAATATTATTCTTAACGACTTGTTTAAAAGTGATTTTTTTAATATAAAGTAAACAAAGTATCTTATCAAGCTCAAACGAAGTATTCCAGGGTTATATATTACAATATATATTTTCTACATCATGATCAATATGCCACTAATCACGGGTAGATCCACTGATTAGTTCTATAGATAATATTATTATCAAATCACACCTATTGTAAAAATATGGCACGATGAAGTTTGTGGTAATATATATATATTTAACAGTGGTGATACCGATAAATGATGAAATAAAGATAACGTGTTTATCACGAAAAAAAATACTTATACTAACGTAAAGTCATGGGTTGAAAGCTTCAAAATGAGCTGGTATATACTAATTTACCTATTAAATTATTTATATATACCTATTAAATTATTACATAAGATAAATGATTTTTACCTGATTCTAAATTTGAATTAAAACTCACCACAGATTAAAGCAATTTTTTTTATTATACCCGCCCTTCATCTTTTTTTATCATTAATAATACTCGATTAACAACACTTGTTTAACTAAAAACACTGCTTCATCTTTACACCAATTAAAAATTGCAAATAAAAAATCGACCCCATTTGTACTGGCAACGAAACCCATATAATTTATTCGTGAATTGATCTCATTCATGAGGATCTGTGAATAAAACTGTGAAACAAAATTGATTTTCATTTCCATGTTTATGAATATTCAGCAATGGGCCGCTAACTTTCGTTGTTGCTTTATAATTTTCACCGACTGAACTCTTCGACCGTATTCATACCGTTTTCCTAACAAAGTTATCTTTTGAACTGTGAGTGATATGTTTGTAGGAAAATGGCTTGCAAACCTTTTTTTAAGGGAATATTTTGATAGTAGGACTTAAATATACAGAAATATTAATTTTATTAACAGTCTAATATGCTACAAATTTTTATTTGTATTCATAATAACTTATTTGCGAAATATAGGTATCACTGTATTACAGCGCTATGTAACATATTACTATATTCTACACATACTACCGTGAGTAAATAATATAATTATGTTCTCTAGAATCGATAAAATAAATACAGGAAATGGTCACAACTTTTTTGTACAAACTCGTTAGAACTACACTAACCATCGTCTGTTAAATTTCACTTAGTTTCTTAAACAATAAAAATATTCTCGAAGCTTAAAAAATTAACAATTTAATTACATGTAATGATTGGTTGAACGGTTCAAAATAACGTAACAGTTATGAGCGTATAATAATTATTAAAAAACACACACGATCTACTTAAAGATACGTGTTGAACGATTTTTATAAACTTACTAGCTGATCCGGCAAACGTTGTTTTGTCATATAAATCATTTGTAGGGTAAAAAAAAATGTTTGGGGTGGACCACCCTTAAAATTTAAGGGGATGAAAAATAGATGCTGTCCGATTTTCCACCCTGGCCGATATGCACACAAAATTTTACGAAATTCAATTTTATTCAATTAAATTAAATTCAAAATAAAATTTCACGAAAATAGGTTGAGCCGTTTCGGAGGAGTTCAATTACAAACACCGTGACACGAGAATTTTATATATTAGATACTTACACATTGGCTTTAGCTGACTCACTAATTCATCTTTCGTCCACTCCTTCTTGTCCGCCCATAAAGCCAAGCTGGGTGCTACCGTTGCCAGCTTGTTGTCGTCCGGGTATGGCACGTTCAAGTAGTGAACGAGAACTATGTCCGGATTCTGCAATTGAAAGCGATACGATGATTAGCAAATTCTAAAATTGTAAAGGTGCGTTAGAGCCACGCACTGGTAATCTTTTGTTGCGTACTGTATGTACATATGTACCTACATAAATAAAATAAACATTAGTAATAAATCTAAACCTGTAATCTAAACAAGAATGGACAAGGTAATTGAAAGTACAATGGTAATGCACCTATAAGTTATCTTTTAAATCGTAATTGATTCCTGGGCTAACATTAAACATTCAAGAGTATTTACGAATCCATTTCAAATATAAGAAATGCTTCATTATTCGTATATTGAGAAAAAGGCTAAAAGGTAGCTTGATAGAATATAATTTTTTTGAGTTTGAACACTTAGACCAGATCCAGATTAGACCGTCATCATCATCATCATTTCATCCTGTTTGAGTCCACTGCCGAACATAAGCCTCCCCCATAGACTACCACGAAGCATGATCGTTAGCCACCTGCATCAATTAGATATTTAGGTCATTGGAGAAATATTAATAATAGACTTATAAAGCTGTAAATTTACAGTATACAAGTATTATCGCATAACTAACTACAAATTTTGTAGAAAAATGTAAAGTTTTTCGCCGCTGCGAGAGTTTCAACCTGCGTTTCGTCCATTGTTCTACAAAGTTTAAATTTCATCTTAAGTAAAGAGAATAAATAGCACTATAAAATTTATATAATCTAGCAAATTTCAGTGGGCATAAAAACATTATTAATGAAAACAAATATATTAATATTAATAATATTAATAAAATTTAGTAATAGGTACCTTGTACCTGGTACATTGTATTCTATGAATGTTTTATGAATTTCAAAAAAATCATAAAAAAAAATCCAATAATACAATATCCGTGAAATAGATTTTATTTGATGAATATTTAATTTATAAAACCAATCAGACGAGAACAAAACTTGTTACCATTAAAAATTAATCTACACAAACGTATGACACGTGTCGTGTCCGGTCCGTAATCTATCACAATTTGAAAATTTAACAAATCAAAATCATTTTCAAACTGGTTATCGCTCTTTGGAAGAAACGTGTGTGTCAGTTTTGAAGCACGTGTGGGGAAGACAACAGCAGAATAGACACAGGTCGATGTCACGCAAAGAAAACTGAGACAATAACAAGTACATTTCACCGTTTGTAGTGCTCTGAAGCGTTCCAAGTACAGTGACACTTTTATTGTTCACTCAAGGCAACGTTCCAAGAGCTGTGCGACTTCGGAAAGTATCTCGAGTAAATATAATTCTGACGACGTTAAGTGCCAGTGGAGTATGTGATCGTTAAATCTAAGTGAGCGAATTATTTCTAACGGGCTGTTTGCGATTTCATAGGTCAGAAAAGTTCCTGCTTCGCCCCCTTAGACCGTAGCGTGATGTTAAGTACTTATAATCTTCCTCAAGAATTGAGTTCTCAAATGCAAAGAGATTTCTTCAAATCGGATTGGTAGTTTCAGACGTCCAAAAAAACAAACTTTTCGGCTTCTTTACATTTTAAGTATATATAATCATGAAAAACAAAATAATTAAGAACGTCTAAAGAAGATCTTTCACTTTAAGCTATTGCTACAGTTAGTTTAGTATATAATTAGCTATGTATAGTACTCGACAAAAAATATTGTACGATAGAGAAAGATAATTGGCTAATTTAAGCTTTGTAGAGCATCATCTCTGTCGCACAAAGGACCACAAGTGATAACGATCTACGAATGCGAAATCAACCGATCGTCTCTTTCCATGGATCAATGTTCTTTATCACTATAAAGCCGCCGTACTCGCCATTACCTACTTGCAACTGCAAAAATCGTACAAAGAACAGATTACCCTGAAAGTAATCATTAAATAATGTACAATTTGGTTTCGATAATTTGGATTCATTACTTAATATAAAAAACTAATAACTATAAAAACATTTTTTTCTTTACAGGTGAAAGATAAAAGGTAAAAATGTTTCATGCGAAACAAATAATGCGGTGTAAAGAGACTAATGCATCTCCATATGTTTCAATGTTTCTCCGTAAACACCTACCGAATATGGCCAAACGCACGCGCGACTAAGGGACACGTGATAATTTATTAACTACCCGCTATTTGTTGCGAGATAGAATGCTGGCTCACGGCTCAACCCTAGTGGAGATAAGCGTGCAAAAAACCAAACGTCGTCCGAAGGATATAAAATTTCTCGAACACACGTAACTGCCACTAAATCGACTCGCACGCAGTTAAGCCGCGCACGATATAAGCAGTGCACAATATTTTAATTTTCAACGCAGGGAGCGAATGTAAAGCGGAGTGCGCGTAATAACTATCCATTTGTCTTCAAAATGGCGGCAATAAACATGGCTCCATTATTTATGTAATGGCCGCGTGGCAGGGCTGCCACTCGACACGTGCGCTTTATGGAAGCCGGCCGGGTTTTTCATTAACACGAAATCTGTTGGAATTATCGCTGGTCACTCCACAGGCCTTTATTTCTAATGCTGTATAATTCCTTTATTATACCGATGTTGTTAGTTATAAGATAATCTACACACATCTATTTTGATATCCAGTCCACCCATTATGCTTGGTATTTATTATTTGGGATATAGCACATACATGAAATTTTTAGTAGAAATACTAACGAGTCATGACCGATGAAACTTTTATGCATATTCTAAAAATTAAGAGGAGTACACAAGGATTTCAAAATAAAACTTTAATAAAAAATTACGTAGCCTCCCTTACTTTAGGATACAATTGTCCTGTGTCGTAAGGACGTTTGAGAAACATTAATTTCACGTGGACAAACACCCGGATGCGAAAAACCTATCTGTGGGTCACACAAATAGCTGTCGCGTGTAGGATCGAACCCACGACGACCGAGTAAGCAGTGCCATAAGTAAGCCTTGGCGAGTGCGCCACGGAGTCATCAAAACTTACTTGAGGATATTCCTCGATTTCAAAACGAAAATAATTATAAATAATTTTATTTTAATGAGTAGATTACATACGAGTATAACTACTCGTATACGGATGTATACAGCTACGGAAGTCTATAAGATAGAACGCGTTAATTGCCGACATTTTTGAGGTAATAAGTCACACTAAAGTTTCCGCGATAACTCTCGTAGAACATAGAAGAACTATTTAATTATTAAAAATAGAGTATTACATAAAAAAATTTTTGATTTGTTGTCCAAGTCTTGACTTGTAATAAATAACATAAAATGATATCTTTAAGCCATCAATTGAAGAGATCAAAGTTGAGTGTGTTAAAAAAAATTGTTACCACAATAGGGCAATAGTTTTAATACAACCACTACATTTAGTCTACCGCTACATTGACACCAAAAGTTACGTTATTACAATTACAACAAACACTACAATTGACTGTGTCATTACTAGTCAATAATATAAATAGTAAAAAAATTGGTTGAGACTTTTTCCCGCGTTTAATTTTATCTATTTATTTATCCCAAATCCCTACCATGACATAGACAACTGCAAATTATTCAAGACTTCGGTCATTTTAAATTAACCAAATCAATATATTATATTTCATTTAAAAATTTGTGGTACGCGTGTAAACACAAGTACCGTTAAAAATGAAACTGGAAAATAAAGAAAATCTTTCACGACGAATGGAAATTCTCGACAGCCCTACATTTTTATGACCAAAGTCGAGAGTCCGTCGTAGTTCTATGAGCTTAGACAAATGCAGTGCGGAGACAATAGGATAAGCTAGATTAATTACGCAAATGTTTGCATTTTATAAAGTTACTTAAAAATAACCGTGGAGGCACCGTGAATACATTACTTTAAGACTTGGGCTAAAATCTTTGCCGGCTCCCGTGAAGTTTGAAAGATGGGAGCATAAGATCATAGTATTTATTAAAAACGTTATGATTTTTTTTCATAAAGTAGAAAATGGCATTAATTATTAACAAGTGAAGTGGATAACTTTTATTAAACACTACCTGTGCCCGCGACTTCGTCCGCGTGGAATTTAAAATAAAAAAATGTAAAATAAAAATCAAATCAAAAATGTAAAATAAAAAAAATAAAATCAGCCAGTGAAAGTCCCGTACAAATCGGTCCAGCCGTTTCAGAGATTAGCCGGAACAAACAGACAGACAGACAAAAATTTAAAAAAAAATTGTATATGTACCGTGTATACATCCATATACATTTAGTAAAAAGCGGTTATTTAATATAACAAACAGACACTCCAGTTTTATTTATCTGTATAGATAAGAAATCCAAACGAAAACCCTGAAGAAGATCTGTAGTAGGCGTTGATTTCTGAAACAAAATCGCAAAATGCTTTCTTACAGTTACCATTTATGTCTTATAGGGGAGGACATAATTTAGACAAAAAATAATAAATTTGATTAAAAAAAAGATTACTCTGGCTGAAACAGGAATAGAACAGAAATGGAGAACAATTTTTATTCATTGATTACTTACCTTATTATTTTTTTTATTATTTACATATTCCTCGATACATTCAAAAGTTTACCTGTCGTGCCTCTAAGCATAAATTAAATTATACTTCTAACACTATAAATGTTAACATGCCGAAATATTTCCTCGATGGAACCAATAGCAGAGAAAATAAACAGTAAATAAAATATCCGCCTTAGTCGCAAATATACTTTCATATCATTCGTCTCCAATGCCTAACAAGGTTTCACATAGGAAACTTAATACTTACCGGTACAAAGTACATGATTATATTAACAAGTAGATTAACCCTGCCAAGATACCACGGTTCAACTATTTGGGATATGTAACTGGTTATTCGAAAAAAACGTCCACCACTCAGTGAATGCGTTTCACATACGTATATGCCACGAGTGAGACCCATACTCCAGGAAAGCTCAATTTTGTTACGGAACGAATTTTTCCGCTTACGGGAAGTCCTTTTTCCAATCCAAATAAGCACCTACAGTGAGCGCTGAGCGCAGTAAAGAACCGTGAGCTCGCCTTCAGTACGCCGTATAACCGGAACGGACTGTAATTGGAACTCCAAAATTGTCGAGATTTGAAAAATAATTAGATAAAGAGGCTTATCAAAAAGAGTCTACCCCAGAATGTCGAGCGAAATATAGAATAAAGTAAACACTATTTTTTGATAGTAATAGTTATGATACGAATGTGGTCGAAAGCAATTCACTCTCAGTACTGCTTCTTTTTATTTACCTTGCTCAAAAAAATGTACCATACAGAAACAAAATTTTACTCAAAATGTTTTCGAAAGTAATATATTTAGTAAATTATTTGCATGGTATATATAGTAGACAACTGACAGTGGTTTTAGAAAATACATCATATTCTTTAACTAATTAACAGTAAACGTGGAAAAAAATTCTCATAAATTACAAACGAGAAAAATTGTGAATAATCTATAATACAAAATTAACAACTTATGGAGATAAACCTATAGATTTCTGGCGTTAAGCTATCAGTCATGATGTTATAATCGGGGAAACTCACTTATTCAAGTCTAATCTTAGTCTCAATCTCCGATATATGCAATTGATGGTAAAACTTGTCACAATTTTACTAACGCCGACTTCAAAATAAAACTTTAGTTTTTACACACCTCGTTATAAAAGTCATTCGCCTTTAAACAAACATCGTCATTGAATTTTAAAAAATCAAATGCTGATCGCAGCATAGTACACCGCAAAGATATCTCGTGTTAGCGACCGTGGCACAATCCCGTCTGACGGCAGTAATCTCCGATATTAGTGAAATAATACGGATACTTCCAGAGCTCGCGTGCCATGTTGAAATTCCGCCGGGAGCGACAGCTAAAATTGCATTAATACAAGACAGAGTTCCCGCATGGCGAGGCTAATATCAAGCAAAGAGCGAGCATTGACACCTGTTACTGTGCTACGTTACGTCTGGCGCTATCAGAAATTCAATTACGTTTGAAGTTTTGGCCGACGTTTTAAATTACGTGTGAAGTACTAGATAATGAAATGGTTTTGGAAAATGTTTCGTTGATCATTGAATATCACACGATTAATATTAAATTTACCCTATTAAACCTCTTATCTGTATTTGTTACGCGATTAAATCTAAACTTATTCTGGAGGTGGGTCCGTATGTGTCATCTTTATTAGAGAAATTGTGACATTAAAAAAAACAAATCTGATCAAATCTGACCGACTTATGATAACTCAACATCATCGCCACGCGTTTCCGATGTAACAAAAGTTACTGAATTTCACCATAGTAGATATCGTAGACCGCCAGTTATATCGCCTTGATGGTTGTCAGTCAATCAACGTGCATTTTTACGTAATTGTCTGCCCCGTACAGCTACTTTGTGGAACCAGTTGTCGTCAGAGGTATTACTGAATCGATACTACTAAGGGACCTAAAAGAAAGGAGCCTTCTCTTAATTCAACGACAAGTAACGCAGTTATGACTCCTCCGATCTTGCAAGTGTCCAAGGGCTGCGATGATCACTTACCATCGGATAAGCTGCTCGCTTGTATACCTCCCTTTTCCATAAAAATTCGGTCGGTTGAATTTTTATGCTTTAACTCCTATGAACGAAATATCGGTTTAACGATTTCAAGACCTTCGAACATGATAACTTTGCGTGTCGTAACACTAAGCAACAAGAGTTTATCCAAGCGCTCAAGCGCAAGTTCTCCTTTTTGGAATCAAGTTACAGAATCTTCAATAATGTATCAAAAGCCAACTTAAGGAAACTATCAACTTACATATATAGTACGTGAAAATAAAATATTATTTCGATGAATCAAAATTTCAAAATAAGATGGTACTCCATCGACAACTCCGTAACACACGAGGTGGTCAACGAACAAGATAATTTACGTTACATGCACATGTAATCATTCCAAATGATTCATCTAATGCACCGTATGAGATATTTCAAAATCTTCTAGAGCACCCTTTTTACCGCCGACATATTTTATGTATCACGAAAACTAATCACATCTACCGCCTCGCCGCCGATTCCCCGACGACGTAAATCCGGAAACTGAGAAATTCTATTAATATTTCAGCGATCCGGAGATTCGAGGGGAAATATATAGCAAATATCTATTAATATTTCAGCGATCCGGAGATTCGAGGGGAAATATATAGCAAATATCGAACGGAACGGGCCAATTCGCGATTCTATCAGTTTCAAAAGGAGCGGGTAACTAATGCGCACATTTCTAGATTTCTCTTCCAAGGGATACTGACGTAGAGAAATCACTGGCTTCTAGTAGATCAGAACTCGTCATATCCTTATCTAGGTTAAGTGTAAGTTGTTGACAAGTTATGAATGTAAAAAATATAGTAAGATTTTATTTTGTTTTTTGATTCTTAACAATAATTATATAACAATAACAATAGCAAATATCGAACGGAACGGGCCAATTCGCGATTCTATCAGTTTCAAAAGGAGCGGGTAACTAATGCGCACATTTCTAGATTTCTCTTCCAAGGGATACTGACGTAGAGAAATCACTGGCTTCTAGTAGATCAGAACTCGTCATATCCTTATCTAGGTTAAGTGTAAGTTGTTGACAAGTTATGAATGTAAAAAATATAGTAAGATTTTATTTTGTTTTTTGATTCTTAACAATAATTACGGTTAGAACATTATATAATCCAAAAATAAATACCTTAGTCAACAAAAACATTTTCAGAAATTTTCAACGTCAGATATGGAAACAAAATAAAATAATAACAAATTTAAACAGATTTGTTGGGTAACTAAAGCCTTAGACAGTATTTAGAAAATTTATTCAATGACCTGCTGACCCTTTAACAGTTCTCTCAACTAATTTTGATAAGATAAGATAAGATAATAATTTATTGTCTTAACTGTGTACAGTAGGTGTTACATATGTGAAAGTTAACTGGCACATTTGTGATCAGGGTTGTCGTACACTACCAGTCGATTACCCGTCTCAATGGGTGCTTGATAATCGCATTTTTTAAACTTTACCCTTACTTTAGAATAAAATTATCCTGTGTCATAAGGACGTTTTACAAACATAAACTTCACGCGGACAAACATCCAGATGCGAAACAACTGCCTGTGGGTCACACAAATAGTTGTCCCGTGTGGAAATCGACCCCACGATCCCCGAAGCTGAAGCCAAAATATTGGCAACTGCGCCAAGGAGTCGTCAAAGTAATGTGAGAAAAATTTGTGTGTGCATCGTACAGTCCCGTGTAGTTATTTATAATTCATGTAGTTTCTTGTTATTGTCCACAGTAGATGCAACGCGAACGTAGCCGTTGCTACGTGTGTCAAAATTGCGACGATTATTCAGTCAGGGGCCAAGCTCCCGGTTAATTACTGTACGGATAATTATATACAGATAATTTATAAGTAATCACCTGTAGGAGCCAGTAGCATCTGCGATGGAATGTTGGCAGGATCGCAGAATGGACGTAACACCCGTAGATGCACTGTGAATAAAAAAGATATGTTTAACGAAAGTATTTAGTTACTTAAAATTAAGGAACGAGGTTTGGTTTTAAATGAAAAAAAAAATGTTATTCAGGAAAGAGATACAGTTATTATTTTCACGGCTAAAGAGTATGCATCTCTTGTATGTCTAGTCGATGTTCTATTTGTTTTTTGTATTTTAATAAAACTTCTTAACAATTTTTTCTTGTTCACTTGTTGTCATGTTTTTAAATGTCCAATGTTTTTTTGTTTTTTTAATTAGGTTTAAAGCTGACGGTAACTGAAATTAATATATTTCAGTTCTTACTGTGACCATCGACGAGTTTTTAAAAAAAAGAAGTGACAGTATTAAAAAATATAATGAAACCAGTGAAATAATAAGTGTAAATTAAAATTAAATATTTTGAATGTCTTGTACATTTTTAGCGGTTAAATTATAACAAAAACAACTAACAAAGCATAATCGATTACTATACAATATTTATTAGAAAACTAAACTGTATGTTGCATTAATATGTAAATTAAATGATATACCAAATACAGTATTAAACGAGGAACATTATAATTTATTCCAACAGTACTTCACTTCAAAATTGCATTAAAACTCGTTAAGTTAATGATGTTGCTCATAGTTTAATGTTTTCATGGCTATTTTTCCTTTCAAGTATAGACTTGTATAATATTATATTTAATTTTTTTTGTAGTTACAGCGTTTCGCCATCACACCCAACACGATACTTTTAGCCAGACTATCCCACAATTGGCGCCTATACTAACTTTGTTACTAAGAAAGACTGTGTGCAAACAAATATTTGATCAAGTAACGAGACAAGGCGTGCACCGCAAACGTGTTATTGTTTTTCTATTGAAAAAATAAGTTTTCTACTGTTTTCATTTTAAAACCCAATGAAACACTAATCAAAGTAAGACGTGATTATCTCATTTTAGTATCAGTTTCAAGTATATAGAGATGTCTTAAAAATAACATGATTTTATTGCTGATCTATTTTTTGTATTATTTATTAGATTAAATCTACTAATCTAATGAATAATACAAATCTTTCAATAACATTATTTAGTCCCGTACTTGACAAGTGATATGTGTACCTTAAAACGTCAAATATTTTTTTTTTTTTTCAAAATAATCCTTCAATGTTCAGTCGAACGTCAGACAAACAGCGCGGCATATTTGATAATGTAACAACAGGTTAATTAAATATTGTTGATATTTTTAATATTCAATATTAATATAAATGTTAATATAAAAAAAATATAGTATAAACATCACACGACTAACTAACTAATAAAATACCATCTCTCGATGCTTTTGAACTCATTAAAGATTAACAAAGCGAACTTTTGAAGTGGGACGTGCTTGATTGGCGACCTTTATTTTCACACAGCGTAGGGGTGCCGAGCGCGACTCACAACTCTCCCCCGTCTCATTGAACATGAGCAAGGTCTCAATAAGACCGAGCGCGACTCACAACTCTCCCCCGTCTGATTGAACATGAGCAAGGTCTCAATAAGACGCTCACCACCAAGTTTATGCTGCTGAAAATTGGCTTTCGTCCGCAGCATTATGTTTATGGAATGAATTGGTTTCATTTTCAACAAATAATGTATCAATCGTGTTAATCCAGCTCGGGCTCCAGCTGGGCTTGATCTCTCTGGTTGTCGTCAGTCAGACGACATAAAGCTTAGCCGATACCACTGACAATATTATTTACATTTTGTGTTGAAAAAGACAGGACAAAGAATAAGAAGTTTTATCTGGTGTCGTGGCTGGTATCTGAGTACGAAAAATTGTAATTCTATTAACATGAACATGAAAGCAAGAACCTCTAAACTACCAACTCTAGACTTTCTCTGGTAAGAACAGATGAATCTAGAACCAGCGAGGTTCGAGACAGGTAATGAATAAAGGCTTCATGGCCGCTCTTGACTTGTACCTTAGCAGATCACTCAACGGCACCGGTGGCTCGAGATATATTATTCAGTTGCATTGTCCATTGGTATGTAGCGGGCGAAGGCTGATGTGGCAGCATTGGCGTTTTACCGACGCAAGTGGGAATTTCTCACCCCTAATTGCTCCCAGCTCTACGCGCTGACGGCATAAGACTGCCGCTGCCAATGTGCAGAATGTATGTAGTTGTTAACATATATTATAACATGCATTGTCTATACACGGATGTGAATTAGACGATAAAGTTGTAAAAAAATTAAGAAGAATGTGTAAACCATTGTTAAATCTCAAAACTCGATAATCGATTACTAATTTGTCAGTCTTGACTATTTAGACTAATCGAACTTATAACTAACGAACGACCTATGTACTGAAACATGGAAATGCATAAAACTGACTATTATACTACAAGTTACTAACCTATCGAAGATTGTTGGAAGACGAATAAAATCCGAATCTACTAAAAAGTACCTAGTTTTCCCCCTCAGTATATCGACAAACGGATATTTATCCGAGAGGTTTACCCCCAGACTTATTTTCATCCGCGCCAGGCATTTCCGAAAGTTTAAGTGTAGCGCCGTCGATTAGAGCGGAAGGGTATTTCCTGTTTTCCATTTATCCCACTCTTCGTTTCTAGTCACATGTAGGTATGCTGGAAGGAATTTTGATACTTCAGTATTCCAACTATCTCGTTCTGATGAAGTAACCTAGAACCAAAATGTACGCTGAAAGCAAAGGTTGATTTGCTTGCCAGTGAATTATTTTAAAGTTAATACTGCGAATGGACTTGCACCTGAGCTTATATTTTCATGAAGCCGTCCTGGTGCTAAGCAAAAAATATTTAGATTTACGAACTCAAATCTCTGTAAATGAAGCAGGCTTCATTCTTAGTATTTTTCTTTATGTCTCCGGTCGAAATGGGAAACTTTTTCAAATCTCCAGCGTCTGAGATATTCCACGATGCGCAAACAAACATTGCTTTAGCAAGAAATGAAGAATCGCGACCTGCCTCGATTGTCTCTAATTACGGCCCAACTTTTTCACTAAATCCTATTTTGAATGTTGAACCGCATCGTTTTGGTGCCGAGTCCGTCTTCGTTAAAGTAAGAATGTACGAAACTCACATTTCTTACCGAGAATTAGGTACACATTGACAACACTTCAATATTACCCGAACTTCTTTAATCCCACCAGGTGAGAATACCGTCATATTCTGTACACAAAATATGAGTGACGGATCTTTGTAGGAGTATTTAATATAAAATTTATTTATCTAATACAAAAGTGCGGAGATCTACAACACAAGAGGAAGAAAGTGAAGTTAATTTAACAATATCCATTACAAATTAACAATTACATGGTTGTGAACTCATCCAGAGAACACAAGAAAGGGATTTAGTAGATCTTTATCCCTAGAAATTATATATAAGTTTAAAGGACATTTAGCTTACTAGTTAAAGTATGTGGGCGCGCATCCGAAAGACTGGTTCGATTCCCGCAGCCGAGTTTTGTTTTTCAATAACACCGTTTGCCGTTCGAACCATTTAAAAGTCCGCTTTCGTAAAATACAAATATGATCCAACTATATCGAAAACCAATATGAAACTATACTGTCACATAAGATAACGGCTTTTAAACTGTTTTCTGTTTAGTTTTCTGTTTGCCCTTTTCTTTCGATGAAACTCTTTTTTCCATATGCCTGTTAATAAACTTTATTTCGTAATTAAAAAAAGGATAAGCCTACATATTTTTTTTTTATTTAATAATGAACAATAGTAAAGTTCTATTTTCAATACGGATAAGAAATCTTAAAAAGTCAAAACGTTAATTACTCGTTATAAATTTATGTTTGAGTTATTTATTCATTCAATGCATTTGATGTTGAAGATCAAGTCTTGTGAACTCATATACTTAGCAACCCAGTATAACGTTCGGACGAAAAGCATCTTGTAAGTGAATTATACTTTTACGACTCAAACCCATCCATGCCCCTCTCGAAACGTAAATAATATTACAGGGCGAATTGCACACCGTTGCAGACAATGTATAAGCCACCGGGCGAATTCAACTTTTCAAATTCGGTTTTATTGCAACCCCTTGTCACGCGTTTCGGATCACACGATTTAAATTGCTAACGGCTATTTTTATTTCACACCGAAGATTTCTTTACTAGCTTTTTATATATTTATTTATACTTTATAGTAACCTTTAAAGAAGGATTACAAAGGGCGAAATTAGTGTCATCATAGTCAACCCGAGCGTGGTGAGAAATCGTGGTAGCTGCAATTATTTCATTTTTTTAAATATATATTACTATACTATATACAAGTACTTAAACAGATACATTATTGGGTTCTTAATACAGATGAAAATGTGTTTAACGACAGACGAATTTTTCCTAAAGAATGTTGTTGATATAAATGATTTTCAACTACATTTAAAATATGTTTCGGTTTTTAACTTTATAATTTAAATTTTTTATGAATTCGATATTTCATTACGGCTTACACACCGTAATTACAGTTCATTAGTAGCACATATTGTATAAAAATGTATTAATATATATACTTCTTCAGTACTACTAACAAATGTCGCCATTAGATTTAAAAAATACTTAACAATGATGTAGGAAATTATAAGAATTAGATTATTATTATTTCAAGTAACATATATTTTATTAAAAACTCTACGGTGAAACAATTCAATTAAAGGAAAACGCTTTCGATCCCGCAAATTGGACAAACAAAATATATCAAGGTGAATAACAGATTCTTTTAATGTCCGTAGAAGAAAATTTATTATCTATTAAAGCACATTTAAAGCCAAACTCTATACGCTACCTATCGCATGAAGTGCACTCTCCAATTTATTTAATGGTCTAGATTTAGATATTAGTACAGCGTGGAACTTGTGCACTACTCCTACATCTTCAATAACTATGTAGAAGGCAGTCAAAGAATGTTCAGAGGGCGATTTATCACAGGCGTATTCGGTTGTCTTGATCAATCTGAGTGGAATCAACGATTTATACGGACCGATATAGTAGACGTTGTTTGTAAGAAGCGAAATATAAGCAATATTCGTTTTGATGATGCAAAATTTATCACGTTAATTATGATCGAAAAGATAAACAGAGTGAGCTTATCAAATTACCATTTTTGATGACGAAATTTACTAATACCGGCTTCTATCCTTTTATCCAATTTGATCATGAACATTTCCAAGGCTTTCTTGGTAATTACATTCATTACAGGTTTAATGCTTGATGCTTATTAACAATCATGAACTGACTGCCGCAGGGTCACGCTCGTCATATCTGCTTAAACTTGGTAAATTAATTCTAAATAGTGACCGAACTTTTTTGTCCAACGCCTACCGCCTTCCCTTGAAGTTAAGTGATAACCACCGCTCATGGTGATCAACAACAGCTGACGGAATCCTACCGCTAACTTAAAAGGGTTGAAGATAAGCGGGCCCCAGTTACATCAATAACAAGATGAAACGAGAAAGTATAATATCCACTTCATACCGCACGTCTGTGAGGCCACGGCACTTGCCCAGATCTTTTTGATCTTTTGCTCTTTCTTTTTTATACATTGCCCTTACTTTAGGATAACATTATCCTGTGTTATAGGTACGAGTCACCAAACTAACTATGGTTTTCAGATTTACCAAGGTACCATGCAACCAAACGAAAAGGGCTGCCTAATCACTACTTGTTTAGGCAGTGTCTAGTAAATTTACGCATAGAGATCGAGTAGGGAACCAAATCTAAATGAAAACATTTCATTGAAAAAAAAAGGGGGCGATCTCGAGAAAATTCCGACATTAAACAAGCCACAGCGCACAATTTCTTCCGTCGAAATGTATTTTAAATTCCCTTTGACCATTCGTTCCGTTTCGCTCGTTATTGCACAAGACAGTTGTTAAACAGTAATACCACAGAGTGATTTAAATTTCTCTTTCGCACTTTTTTTTCATACGAACGGAACTTTTTCCACTCTTTAAACTTTATTAATTGTAACTAATCTTGACGTTTTATCAATTACTTTAGGCCATTAATTAATAGTGCAAGATACTTTAAACATTTTAATTTGTATTGTTATGTAAATGATTCCTACAAATCGTTCAACTGTATTAAACGGTTCATCTTTGGCAAATATCACACGCCAAACGGGCAAGTTTAACCATTCAATATTTGATACAATTTAACTGTTTGTTTGATTATTTAGCCATTTTCACATATTCTACTTTGCTATTCGGCCATTGTTAACGTTTACAAAATTGATATCTACAAAACATTTGACTGACGTTCAACAGATACACTTAGCTGTCATTTATATCATCGAGAGCTTACTAGTACTGCTTAAATTCTTAAAAGGCTCGTGATATATAGATTATATTCGGTTGGAAAGGCAATTCGTCGTTGCTGCTAACTTAAGACCTCGTAATGTATTAACAATCCACGTGCCCTCGGTGAGTAATAAGCAAAATTATCCCGATGTGTAACGACTGCAAAACGAGGTGGGCTGGCCTTACGCCAGCGTTGGCTGTTGTTTCGCGAAAACAAATTCACGGCACGGCCCACTCGGCCGCCGCTGATAATTAAGAGTTG